CAGACCATTTCTGAAGCAGCTTCATTTTTCAACCCACTTACCTACAAAATAGATTCTCTTCTAGTCATCATACAACATAGTTTCCATTAAACATTTTTATGGCTAGTGTGGCAGGGCATTTCTGAAGCAGCTTCATTTTTCAACTCATTTACCTACAAAGTAGATTCTCTTCTAGTTATCATGCAACATTAGTCATCTATTAATCATTCTAGTCATCTATTAAACATTTTTAATAAACGTGATAGAAATTCTATTGAATTAATAACCTGAAGCTCAGTGTAAATATTAGATGTGCTCAGTATAAAAATGTGGATAAAAATAAGCCAACACAATTAACTTATTCTTTGCGTTAAGATATTTCTTCTCCAAACTTATTCAAAATTATTTGGAATTTGAAATCAATTATTAACTATTTTCTTGAAATCGAAGAAATCGCAAAATATGCATTTACAAATAACATACGGAAAGTACTCCAGTTTGTGTAAAACCAGAAAATGACATATACAATCGCGTTTTGTCTTTACTAAAAGCCTCTTTGAGATCAAAATCAAATAAAATTAGACTCTCTTATCAAAATTTATTTTTATTTCTCAGTTGTATTATGTGTGTGTGTTATTTAAGGTCACATTAACTTCTCGGTCATTAGCGACCACTATTGCTTGTAATGGTATGGTAACTGTGAGGATGACACGATATGATGATAGGGTGTGAAAGGACGAACACAATACAACCATGCCCGAGGCGGGACTCGAACCCGCGATCCTTCGGTCGAAGATCGCTACGGCACTACTGCCTTAGCGATCTCGCCCACCGAATCGGCTAAGTTCCTTTTTGAAAGTTCTACTCTGTCTAAACACGGGATAAAGAAATATGAACGTACATAACACGATATGTGGATTTTATCGCTCTCGATATTTATTGCTAATATCTCTTACAAACAAACAATAAATCATTTAATCTAAAAAGTAAATCACCAAACGTTTTCTCCCATTTTAAAACTGAATGTAAAGGGAGAAAATTTTATTGAGCGTTATTATCCACGGGTGTCGAATATGATTAGTATTCTTAGGCGTAGCCTAACCGACATAACTGCAAGGAAGTTACTTCAGCAAGGACATTTTACAACTCAGTAATAAACAAATTACGTGAAAAATTAAGTGTTGATTAGTATTCATAAATATTTATATAGTATAACCTACATATGGCAAGTAAGTGGCTCTGTATCTTAAATTCTTATTATAGAAACATTTTAACTCAAGAGAATTTATATAATTATATAATGGCACGTTAATGACTGTTATAGAAAATGTAATATATCTCTTATAGTTCTTCTAAAGATGAGCGAACTCACAAGATCGAAACGTTGACAAAACTTAGCACACATGCGTCAATGTTATAAAACCTTCGTAAAATAAATTACTATGAGTAAACAAAATATACAATAACCCGTAATATTTAATTATTCATTTTATTATTTACAATACACACCACATTTTATCAGTACTGACAAAGTTTCTTTCATCACTTCAATAAAAGTTTTATGATGAAAGCAATGTTATTGTTTTTGATTGGCTATCAGGTTTTGGTGCGTATTCGTACTTTGTAGTGCAAAACATCTGTACAGAGAAAAAAGTTCGAATATAAAATTTTGTGTTTTTTTTAAACAAATGTCCTTTAGACACATTTACAATTGACCAAGATATGTATACGCTTTGCTTACATTCCCTTGTAGGCCGCGAAAGCAGTAAATATGACCCAGAGAACGGTCAACCAACAACTGTCATAAATGAAGGTCTGAATCATTGAGCTCGTATCATTGCTCCGTTGTCACAGGTGAACGCAAAAAGATGGTTCAGGAAGAGTCGGTAGAGGACGGAATTGGAATTGGAGTTGGATGAGTTCAAGACACAAAGTTCCAAAAACATTTGAACATGCATTTCATATCTCAGAAGTAAGTTCCATATGTTACCTACACGATATCAAAGGAAAAAGTCTTGCTGTGTATTTGTTTAGTATATTCGACCAAAAAGATACACAAGTGAAATTGCGTTATGATAACTTCTTTGCGCATCATTTAAATATTCTGTGTTATATATGAGAAATATTTCACAAAGAAATGCAACAATGCAAAATGTACTTCATTAATTTATTTTTAGTTCATTAATTCGTTCGTTTCATGGGTTCTTTTTATAAGATTTCTTAAAACGATTTGCGGGGATGTCTGGAATCTTGGTTCCTGTTTCTGAGACTACTTCAGGAGCTTAATAATAAAATGGCAACGGCAATACAAAAACGTGCAAAAAAACGAACATATTCAATTGCAATAATCCTACTTCATGCAAATTGTATTTATTGTACCAAAGAGGTAAAAATTGAATTACTATGGTCGTATTTTTTATTGTTTTACATTTCAACTCATGTTAAGATTAGATGTGTTAAAAAAATGTGTATGTATATTTATTTATTAAAATACCATACAGTTTACAACACAACTGGTTTACAGGTTGGGTCCGCGAAATGACTTTTGCGTTATCACTTTACTTGGAAACGCGTCGATGTAAGTGAAATTAATATCTATGGTTTACTCATTATGCCGCGTACTCTCGTCGGACTTAGTCGTTCGTTTTGATTCAGAGTTATGAAATGTCACAACCTTACACATTGCATGAGTGAAAAACCTTAAAGGAACGACAAAAATAAAGAGTTCGCAAATTTTCACAAATTCATTAAAATAACATTCTAATTGAGTTGAAAACTAATTAGTTTCACGATTCAACACTAGAATAATGATGACTGAATCTTAAGTTTGGCATTAAAATTAATTTTTTTCATTTTTAATTGCACAGTAATGTATGACGAACTGTTCGAGATCTAACTATGTACAATGTTAAATGCAAATAAGTAGTAGCAACTATGAGATAAGTGTTCTTAAGATGAAGTTAGAACATGAGTGTAAAATTAAATCAAAATATTCACGGTCAATAACCCACGCTTCTTAATAAACTGAAAATTTAAAAAAAAAACTAATATTTTCAATGATATCATTACACATGCATAAGTACCAGAAGTGAATAGTTAATTTTATAAAACGAGAATTACTGTTACTATACCTTACATGTAGCTAAGAATCTCATAATACATCCAGTACTTTTTCCTCATAATATTGCGCTTTTAATATTTCATATATGAAATATTATATGTGTTATAATATAACACAATATTTCGGGAATTACTGTATTTAAGTCTAAAAATGCAAATTACAGAAAAAAATTAAGCTATTAGCTAAATATGTGGTTTTACTTAGTGCACAAAAATCTGTTGAACTGAATTGAAAATTTGTAGTTACGCGACATTTATTTATCTTTAGTAATGCGGTTATTATTTTTACTTTCTAGAGAATTTCTAATCACTAGATACTTGAAAAAAGAGGCCGCTAATAATGATATAGAAATATTGCTTACCGCATTCAGTTCATCAGTAAGTAAAAATTGTCCAGCATGAAGTAGTTTCCAATTAGCTGCCCATTGACTTGTATCAATTTTGTAACTTCACTATACTTTGTAACATTTGTCATTTCATTATCGGTGCACATACTCTAGAGCTCAGCGAGTCATATAGTATTCAAATTTAACGTTCTTTATGTTCTCGAGGGAGTCAGTCAATTCCGGGGTCCTCAAAAATGTCTTCGGATTTCCTTTGCTAATAGTCTTTGTTTCTCGGGAGCTTGTATTTTCTCATAAATGTTTGCCAAAAATGCACGTTTTCACATTCATAATTTAACTTATGCATACGTATAAGTACAGATTCCTTAAAATAATAACATGTGCAGAGAATACACTCCTCCCCATAGTACTCGCACATAGTTTTAAACTGTTTATTTTTAATCTTCTTTTTTTAATTTTACTGAAGGGGGATTAGCATACGAGAAGTTACTCTAAGAAGATACCAGTTAGTTTGGGAAACGAATGACATGTGGAGCGATGGCATTACAAGAGGTGGTGAAGAAAACCATTAACTAATGACCCAAGTAAACGAACCTATTTACGAATTGAGTTCATTGTTAGAACTCGCCATTATTTTGCCGGCAGAAGCGAAGCAGTACCTGTCGAAGCGGCTCCTTAAAAAATCTCTTTATAGTATTTGCTCTCGCTGCATTGATTTTAAAATTTTCCTACTCCCGATAGCCCGAAAGCGCATCATTCACTTCAAACCACTAAGCAGTACTTCTATACCGAACTGTTATATAATTTTATTCTAATATTTCTATATAAAACTATTCATTTTATTGAAGGCGCTTACTAAATATACAATTGTTTTCATAAGATATGTTACTAAGCAAATGTCAGTCTTCCTTCCATTAAAATAATTGCACAAAAAAATACTCCATTTCCACCCCGGGCAAGATAATCAGAAGAAACTATCAGTCTTCCTCGACATGCGAATCGTTAATATTCACGAAAAGTTAAATTCCTCTCCGATTCCTTTTCGTAATCATTTATATCATTTACTGTAATCACTCAACACATTTCACAGGCGTGATGTAAAGTTAGTTTATCATATTAGTAAATGAGAGAAATACAGAGAAGAGATGTCCTTCAGGAGGTTACGATGATAATTATTTGTTTCGATATCTTGGGTAATTTCGCGTCTAAACATAATTTTGCAAAAATACATAGTATTAAAAAGTAAAGGAATTCAATAAGTTTAGGTTTCATTTAAGCATTAGAAAACGTCACAAACGTAGGATAATTAATATTATTTGTTTACAGGAACAATTTCACTTTGAAGGGATTATTTTTTGAAAACAATTGAGATGAATTAACACTTCAAATAATTTCCTACATCTGCATACACTATGTAAAGCCATTAACGTGTATTTTTGGTAATTTGTATTTTTAAATAAGGCGAAATTCTCTTTAAACCAACATATTTCTACATTATTCGGAAGAAATGTTATTTTAGAAGACGTTAATGCAATTAATTCCTACTACCCAAATTTATTCAAGACATTTAATGGTATCCATATCCATAATACATTAAAATGTAATAAAAATACCATTACAAATTATCCATCATTACTACAAAGATGACGTGGGGAGAACAATATCGTTTTGATCATTTACACAATAAAAAGTTTCAAAGCCATTACTTCCTTAACAAGGAGAATTAAATATATTTTTAAACTAAAAAAAACAATATTAAATGATACAAAAAGTTACTTAGATACCAATAATCTTCCTTCTAAAATTTTGTCTTGGAATCACACTACATTGCGAAATGGTTTGATGACCACAGGCTCAATGCCACAATTCGTACAATATTCAGACGTTACGAATATATTGCACAAAATATAGTAAAAATACTTCTCTTCTTGAACGTAATGTGTCGCGTGTAGAAGACTGCTCCAGCCTGGAAAGAAATAGCAAGATACATCTGACCTTGGTGAAGAGCTGCAAGGTATGCGGTCGCTGGCGGTGAGGCCGCAATCTGCAGTCGGCCCTTTGAAGGTCACCACACAGCCCCACCAGCTGAGCCTAGAGTAGAAAAACGGGAAATTCATTCCTGGATTACCCAAGGCGATTCATATTGCCATGAAAGAAAATCCGGTCGCCTATGCAAACAAGGTAGTCTGTGGGCCCTTTGTACACGCAGGGTCAATGCTTGTAGTATTTATTACGCCGATATAGTTTTTGTAATTATATAGTAAACGTTCATAAATAAGACATCTTTCGGAGCTCGACTGTTCACAACGACTCTTTTAATCTGTTATTAGTATTTCTTCGTTACGTTTTTATACACGTGGCAACGTGGAAACGGGGCATTCCCAGAACATTAAATACAATGATGTATTAAACAGGTAAAGTATGAATTCTATGTAGCACAATGAAAGCAATTTTGTTTTCACTATTTTTATGCACCGCCCTGTTCACATGAAACTGGATCACCTGTCATCAGTTATCACACTGTTTGAAACGCATACCCCGTTCGTACCAGAGCGCAAGCCACAAGTATAAACTTCAAACAAAATATGCAAAAGATGATTCTTCGATTACTACATGCACCGTGATTTGCACCAAAGTACACCAAAAACTGAACATACCACACCCCACCACGTCATATAATGCACCTTTTCAATAATTTCTACTCCAACATGAACTATATCACACGCAGCGAATTACAACGTCACCTCAACAACCAATTTCAAACATGAATTAAGAATAAACTCCCGTTCGACGCTGTAATTAACATGTTCGAGAATAATTGTTAACCGTAAGTGCTTGTGTTAATTATCCCATTGTGCAGAAATAGTTTATGACAGTAATATAAAAATAGTATTCAAAGTTTACGAAAAACGTATTACTGAATAATGTATTACCCAACCAAATCTAATGTTTACACAAACTTACCCAAACAATTAAAAAACAACCTGTCATCCCCTCTACACTTCGTCTTCCAGTCCCTCCCCTGCTCCACACATTCGTGCTGCCTCACCTTTCTTTCAAAATTCTAAAATCAACAATTCCCTAAACATAACTATTATTTGGTCAGTAGTTTTCATTAACTGGTATTATGCCGTAATTTTGAAGAAAAAACTTCGTAGAGTTAGTATTTTAAAAAAACGCGTATCATTTTCACAAATACTGGTAATTTTTTACTTACAGAAATATAAAAGTTATTGAAGTATCCCTACGTATAGTATCTCGACTCGACATTCCGTCTAGTTCTGTGGACTGAGTAATACGAACTACGTCAGAATTTCGTCAAAAAGGAGCGTATTTCGAATACAAGTATCTCTGTAGCAAGGTGCTGAGAGTCCACCCGCAAAGAAAGGCAAGATGTCTAAATTATGAAAGTAGCTTATTTGTTAAATCTTTAAAAAAATGTATTAATTTGAGTATAAGGCTAAGTAAATGTTTGTAAATTATTGGTTCTTGAAATAATTCTGAAGACATCCCATTCATTTCCTGTAATTTACTGTCATTGAAGTTAAGACTTTTCATAACATTCCAGAATAATATTTTCCCAGTATTTCAAACAATGCCTGTCTTCTCGAACACTAAAGATAAATCGCTACTAAATGTAATCGCTAGCCACCATCGCGATCTTTATCTCCAACAATTCTCAGTTGCAGAGTGAATTCTCGAAGAGCGGCGTTTTACATTTTGCGTTTAGATTCTTAATTGTTAGGTGTTGCAAACGCACGATACAAATGAAAAATTAATTTTCAATATTTTAGTTAATAATTAAACAATTTTCGGTTACCGAATAAATATTGATATTTTCTAATAGCAGCGTTTACATTTTGCGTTTAGATTTGTGTTGCAAACGTACGAAATAATTGCAAAATAAATGTTCAATATTTGTTTAGTTTTTAAGAAAAAATTCATATTCAAACTCTACGCAAAATGTAATCTGGAAATATAATTACTGAACAATATCTCATTATGTATTCTACAATTAAACAGTGGTCTTCTTTGAGAAGAAAAATGAAACAAATTACTTTTACGACCAAAACAGGACTTAGCAAGAAATAATTTTAAAATATCATAACAAAATATTTTTATGACTACTATTACGATAACTAGTTAGACAAAAGCCTACTTCAAAGGCTGCGAATTTCTATTTTCTTTTTCTCAGCATTAATACGAAAATCAGCAAACTCACAATTTGGTTTTATGTACCACTTAATATCTTGACAATTCGAATTACATTTTTTCCGTAAAAATAAAATGAATTTATAATGTTAAAACAAGTAAAAATCTAGTTCAATTAAAAATGCCAGGAGCATTTTCACGGAAAATACAGATCTTACCTTCATTCTCCAGTTTTTTTCAATAACTTCTTTCTTGACGATGTAAGACAGTTTGCAGCATTAGATAAATCGAGAAGTTCACACCGCACATTGAATATTTATAACTGATACCGAGCGAACATGTTAAATTCGAGAATTCAACAAACACTAGGCAGGCATTCCCGACTGCTCCCCGTCAACCACCGACGTCGTCTGTCCTGGGTGTCGCCTTTCGAAGTGACTCGATCACGTGACAAATGCGGCAGTTAGAAGAAACACAAGCGCTGGAGACAAATGAAACTGTCACATCATTCTAGGAAGCAAACAATGAAAGATCCCATTTCTGACAATTCCTGGAAGACATTCAAAACTAAAAAAACTATTGAAAAGACATGGTATCTATTCTGGAGTTGGAAATATTATTATATTATTATAAAATATATTTAAATTGTATTAAAATATTTTTTCTATTTTCCCGAAATTTTATATTGCAAGTACTGAAAACCTCAAAACAATGAATATTCTTTTAACACACAGTATGTTAGCTGTTTTGCTAATACGGAAATACTATTAGAGTTCAAAATTCTCGTTGTACTTTGTAACGATGATATCTGTTATTTTTCACGTATTAAATTGAAATTCATATAAACTTTACAACAAAAATATTCGCTTTTAAAGCGGAAGATGAAAATTATACAAAATATCAACCAAGAAAGGAGTAGGCTGAAATAAAAAAGCCCATGATATTAGAAATATTAGCACAATTGAAACGAAATCCACATCAATTTGGCAATAGTACAATTTTATTTGCAGATATTAACAGTTAGTTTTAGTATAGTATTTATCTATTTTCTGGCAGTGATCAATTCCAAATCAATTTACTGCATTATTTTACGTCATTTGCAAGATTAGAAATCCGCATTATTATAAACTTAATTATAGTTTTCAATATTTTTTCCAAAAAGTACCTGTAAAGCATTATAATTCAAAACTGTTTCAGTGGCTGCAATATAAAAAACAAACTTTGTGATAATTTCTAAGGATTGTCATATCATTTTATGCCACACATTCATGGTCTTCACGTAATGACTGCATTTTGAAAAATATATTACAATTATACTCTTTCATACTTTCATTCCCTCGTGACGGAAGCGTTAATACTTCTTATAATTTCATACTATTTTCCGTAGTTTATTTTCGATTGAATTATCAAATTGTAGAATATTTCTACTCACTCTGTGCACGTGTTACAAAATCAAACTGTTAGTTTTGTCGGTGGTGTATTCCAGGTATACAAAACGTCTGTTTCAAAATTACCAAATATTTCCAGATGTTCTACCCAAGTTAGAAATATTTCGAAAGAATTTTTGCTTTATAGATACTGTTTTCAAATCTGCGGCATTTCCAGATCTCGGAACCTGGAATTTTTAAATTGTTTGCAATAGGGGTAGCTCCGATTGTAACAAATTTATACAAAGATACTATTTTTAATTGATGAAATACTTAGTGAGTTTGTAAATGTAACTAGTGATCCCGTTATCGAATTTTAAGATTCAAAACCTAGAATAGTGTTGGCAATGCCTTTAATAATTTCTTATTCTCCTTACCCTCATTGAAATGTGGTAAATATACTTACTACGTTTACCACGTGATGAAGATTGAACGACTTACACAATTTTATTCGCCTATTTTAGTAAAGGGATAGACAATGTTTAAAAAACTGCCAAGTTGTGAAGCAGCAACTCTGGGAAATGTTTAGAGAAAAAGTGGAAAACTGGATGGTAAAGGATCAGGAGTTAATTTAATGGTGATAATTTTGTTGATGTAACTTAGTTGTTTCTAGCTCAATAAGTTCAATTATTTTTCATATAATTGGACGTAGACTATTTGTTCTTATAAATAATAATAATTGTACCTACGCTCCCCTGGTTGAGAGATGCACACATTCAAAACGTTCATTTTGACATGATGTATAAATAATTATTAAATATGTTAATGTATGAGTGCTTGAAACACAATTTACGGATCAACAATTTTGAACTGAAAACGTCAAAATGATACTTAAAATATTGTTCGTAAGTTTTCCAATGAGACACACGCTCATGTTTTCTCTGTAGAACACACAGCGGAGTGATTTCGACTTCTGTTGATATTTAAATCGTTGTAAGTCAATGCTCTGATATGCAAAACATATCAGAGGAAATTTCTCTTTTGATTATTAATTTCGACACCCAAGTATACGCGCAAGTGCAGGATGCCACCAAATGTCGTCTAGATTTTCTTGATTCGAAATTAAAAATTGCGAAAAATAACATAGTTTTAACATCACTCTCTGTAATTCCTGATCCGATCTTTTCTTCTTTTTATTTTAAATGAATAACAAATTTGTTCATTACGAACTGCCCTTACTTTTTTATATTTTGCACCGGTAGAGCGTTAAAAAGCATTTTTTTGAACACTTGAAGTACAAAGTGGCTCAGATGATAGTAATATATTATATAGTATAATATGGAAAAATGTCATTGTTAAGAAGCATAAGGTAAACCGCGACCAAAAGTGTTTGCAGACTCGCACGTTTTTACAACAACCTGCTCTAAATACGTTTTTCGTGTCTTACCATGATTTTCGCTTATGTAAATGTTTTCTAAATTGAAGGATTTAAACATAAATTGTATTAATTAATAAAAATGAGTTGGAATGAAAATAAACGAATATGTTTAGAACGTACGGTGGACATCATTCCTTTGACTATTGTATAAAATTATTAAGGAATACCTATTGAACCGTAGAATATTTTTTCAGATACGGGAAATATTTCTAGTGTAGTACCAGATTTAATTACAATGGATTGTCTCTGATCATCAGCTGGAAGTGATAATCCAATCAGAAACTTCGTTGCGATTATAATTCTCGATACTGATGCTTCCGATTGGATACCCGCGTCAAAGCTGATAGTGCCACGTGTCACTACAATTAAGTCAAACAATAGAAGGAAACTTTCGTGCACAGAGGGGCATTTGAGACTCCGAATTGGGATGATGTGATCATAATTTAAGCAGTTTTTTCGATCACTTTCTCTTTCAATGATTGTACAGTTGATTGAATATTCGGAAAAAAAATCAATTGGCTTCTTTTCGTTCTGAAAATTAATCTTGAAAGTATGAATATATTTTATTCTGTATGTCGGTTCAGGGGAAATTAGCTGAGCAGATATATTCCTGTCAAGAAACTATATGTTTTTACACACACTTGATGACAGGAGAATTGAAAGGTTTGGAACATGTAACCATGAACAACTCATCCGAATACGAAGTACTTGTAGATCAAATGGGTAAAGACTATTCTATAAAATAATCTACGGTCTAAATTAAGGTGACCAGAGTCGAGGTCAGCCGGGACAGTCCTTTTTTCCAGTCTTTGCCCCGTATTTTTTTGACAAGAAAACGGGACACCAAAATGTTCTGTAACGTGAGTGATCGTCACAAAATGCTGCCAACAATATTATATTTATGGTATATATTTTATCACAATGTACTCCGTTTGCTTTGCTTTAGTTAGAAACATTAAGAGTGACAAGACAAGCATAAGTGCCACATAAGTTGTTTTAGAGCGTCAGTTGTGGTTTCCAGGAAGGGAAAATGCACCGCAACAATCCGATATTTGTTTCTGAGAGTTTCTCTGCGACAACGTTTGGTTCGCGTGAGTGAGTGAGTGATCTTTGGGGTTTTGTTCATGGCACGCCTGTCTCTTGCGAGACTCTTCGTCCAGTTTTTATCTTCTTTCAGTGGTTTGTTGTTAAGTTGCGACTCCTCTCCCCCGTACAGGGACGGGGATTGGGAGTCGGTTTGGTTGGCGTGAATTCGATGCTTCATCAAGAAAGATATATGTATTTATTTATTTAATTTTAATTTCCAAACCTAAATGTATTCGAGCTAAAACAGTGCTTAAGGTCATCTTTAGCTTCTTTTATCATTTTGACAAAAACAAGAATATCCTGGTTTTGTTTTCAAAATATGGTCACTTTAGTCTAAACAGACATAACAAATCGGTGGTCTGGTACAAGTAATAACTGTTGCATTTGCAAACCAGATATGTTTATCTCTTGGTCGAATCAAGTCAGTAATATCAAAGAAAACACAAAGAAAATGGAAATAAGAACTGAGAAGTTGAATTTTATTTCTGAGTGCCAACCTGTAACGCATATTATGTTCTTGCGCCGTCGGTCTCTTTGTCATTAAAGGACTCTAGCGCCTAAACTATTCTTAGGATCTTTCCCAAAATGAATATTCAACGGGGTATCTTCTTCGACACAAAGTCCGGGGATTTTAAAAAGTTTTCGTTGACTTTTGAGGGTACATTGCAATGCCTACAGTAAATGTTCAAATTTTCATAAGAATGGCTCCAAATTTTTTCTTCAATTTCTTGTAATCAATAGGAGGGAAATACTCTTACAAAGACGGGATAGGTCTTATTTTCAACGTTTACTCTGAATTAGAAGAGTTTGAATGTTTTTCAAAATCACGGAGCTTCTAGTAAGACCAGATTATTCAGGAAATATTTATTTTCAAAAAAATCCTATGAATAGTTTCGGCGCTAGAGTTGTTCACAGACGGACCTAAGGACAGAAGGACGTTTTGAAAGAAACCACACTTTTTCGGTATCGGGGGACCTCAGAAAGTGTTTATTCGTTTAAATCTCGAAATCAATTTTTCGCAGCAATGCAAACTTTCTCACTTCAATAGATAATTATCCGGATATATGTGAATGTATTGAAGAATGTAAAAATAGAGAAAAATGAAACTATTTTAAAGCAAAATCTACTTTTTTTAATGGACTTTATTTCAGGCAAAATTACACAAAATTACTCGTATTTTAAAAAATATAGTTTTTGACCTTAAAATTGAATTTAAAACAAGAGATATTATTAAAACAATGTCAATCTTCAATATAGTAGTTTTCAGAAGACGCTTAAAGAAATGTTAACATTTGAAATGTTTGAAAATTCAGAGAATTTAACGAATATCAAACCTGTGTCATTTTTACAAGCAGATTTGTATCTGAAAAATAAATTCAAAAGAGCCATAATTGAAAAAACAACGTAAATTTCCTTGCTTTATGAAAAGAGCTTCCCCAAATCAATACATCCATTTCAAAATCAAAACATTGCAACATCAGTCAAATCGATGAGGAAATATCAATTTCCTCGCAGCGCGCGTCGTTGTTGCATCTGATACCTCTGAAGACTAGCAAATGGACGTTGAATTTGCAAATGAAAATTATTCCAAAATTACGCTAAGCTACTCATATCTTTTATAAAATGTACATGATATTTTTTCAGTAGCTGATTTTTACAGCAGATTTAATTTAACAAAAGCTTTCAGCAATACTTTTGCGATGTGAAGAGACAGTACGCTGAAAATGGGATTATTATTTTTTGCTATTGTTCGTTACAAAGGGAGAAAATGAAAGAAAAAAGTAAGAAACGTTATTGGGAAATAGCTGTTTGTGGAAACTAATGGTCCTTAAATAGCACGTTCTTTCTCATCCGTATTTTCACATTAAGTGACGCGAAAAGTACTCAAGTGTTTGAAAATGTGTACATGACCTTATTGCCCACACTGTCCGGGACGCGCCGCGACTTTTTTTGCGGTGGCAAACGTGCACGAAGCAACCGTGTTTTGGTTTGCCGCCAGAGAGATGCGCCTAGACAATACAAACTCCGCACGGACTGCGGAAGCCTACACAGTCATGTTGTACATTACCATATTTCTAAATATATATTTTTAGGGCACAGGTTTCATTAAAGGAAATATTATATCTTTAATATTTAGTTGTAGGAAGACTCCGAAAACAATTTGAACTTATGCAATTTTCGAAAAATCATGGATTTTAACGAACATGAGAAGAAATGGTGCAGATAACAGAAGACTGGGTTTCGGTCGCGGTAATATAAACTAATACTTTAGTATATTTGTAGAATATTACAATACCACAGTGTTTAATAATTACTATTACATATTACTAGTATAGGTTCGTGAGTACACTACTTACCTTATTCAATGAATTGAATACCAGAAATATTTTTTCTTTTAAAATTCTGAATAAAATGAAAATCAATTGTTTGAAACTATTTAATTTTCGCACCAAATGTTCTACAACTTCAAATGACTTTTACAAAATAAAGATGACTGAGATGTGTTAATTCGGAGAGAAATTGTGGTATAAATAGCATTACATAACCATTACTAATGGAGAGAAAGTACGTGCTGTTTGAGCACCTGAATATTTGTCGAACTTTTAGAGTAGATGACAGATATCAAGACCAGATGTGCCAACCATCTCCACGTGTACGGGCGCATTGTGAGAACTACTGATTAAATTATTGTCACTGTCTTGGCAACAGGCAATTGGCGTAGGAAAGTCAATTTCTATACTTTAGTTGTGGATGTTTGTTTTTTTTTTTGGAAAATTTGATTCAATACTTAGAAATGGGTCTTTTATTTTATGTAATGAATTTTCACATCTTTTTAATAAAAATGCTTCTTATTGTCGTGTTAAACGTAGCTTAAGAATGTTCTTTAATTGTTTCATTCCTCAAACTAAGGAGAACTTCAACTTGCGCTAGATGAGTAAGGCTAAGTTGAAGGCCACTGCATGAGTAGCGACCATTTCAAGCACAACACTGAAAAATAAAAAGTGAAAACGTTCTACTAAATTCAAACTTGGAGAGCGTTGAGCAAATATAAGTTGGTGAGGATAAGAACGATGATTACTTATGTCCTTTCGCTTATTTTATATTTTAAATATAAAGTAAAAATAACGTTCATATTGTCATTGGGATAATGTGATGGGTATTTTATTGACCTCTTTTGGTCTCAGACTCGTTTAGGGGAGGGGGGGGGGTAAAATATCGATTATCACTTGCGTGCCAACCACACCCCACCTCACATATTGCGGTACTTCAACCCGTGTAATTTTCAGGATGAGCCAGTTCGGTGAACAAGAAGTGAGCTAACCTGGAACTTCCCTGTTGGAGTAAGGGAAAAAAAGGCAGTAGTACTTAACTACATGCTGATGAACTTAATCACTTTAATTGCAGGGTCGTTTAATCTTCGCATATAAATAGAATGCAACAGTTTCTTGCCTTATACTGAAAACCAATTCTTTTCACTTAACAAGCCCTGCAGCTTACCCAAACTCATTTGCACTTCTATGCCAACTTTCTAAAATAGTCCATGTCTACAATACGTATCATATGCGTCTATGTTGCGAGCCTTGTCTCACTATCGTACCAACTTCTTTACAAGTGCGTAGGGGTAACTTTTCACATTCAACAACCAGGGCCGGATTGAAGTAGTGCGGGGCCCCAAGCACAAAATTGTGTTGCCCCCCCCGATAAAAATAGCTCATCTGTTAAATAAAAAATGTATTATAGTACAAGCTACTTTCTGTACAGATAAAAACTGGATAATTTTTTATAGAAATTTTTACTTGTGTTACATTTTTTTACATTAAATACATTTTACATCATTTTTTTCTGCTCTTCACTGCAGAATGTGGGCCCTCTGGTGAACGGGGGCCCCCAAGCAACTGCTTGTTTTGCTTGTAGGTAAATCCGGCCCTGTCAACAACTAATTACCTCTACCACACCGCCAGCTGTATATTTCATTTTCTGCTAGGTCACGATGCATTTTCATCCTCCATCACTTTTCGATTCGAGCATTCCCTTAGGTGGTCGGGGTCCAACCCAGGGGTGCGGTCTTTTTCTCGTACCGTGGCCTAGCGTTTTTGTCGAGTGTTTCAGGATAAAGGGGAATGCGATTGGGCGCTTCCGGCTCTGTTCTAGTGAAAGGCGAGTGGCACGCGGGTCACTGTAGCGGACTATCGTGTGTGGTCTAGTCTCTCTGGCTTTAGATGTTGCATTTTATCAGCCTTGGTCGTACTCTTGCGAGCTCTGCTTCTCAACTGATTGTTGTGGTTTTCGCAGTGTCATTCAGTATGGTGATCATCTTCTCCAGGATAGTAATGGTGAAACCAAACAGGGAGCTCTCTTAAAGGACTCTTTAACAAGAAATTTCTTCATTGAGTGGTAAATCAGTCTTTTAAACACGTGTGTAGAGCAGGAAAGTTGAAAGTGTACTTTTAACACCAACCATTTTAATGATTAAATTTTGTCCCACACTTGCACAATGGTAGTAGCATTACCTCGCAGTGTCACATTTAAAAAATTGAATTTTTCAAATGCATTACAAATGTTTATCAGGAAGTCACCGTGTAAAAGCACTGTAAGCTGTTAAATTGCAAAATCGTCAAACTATATAGCATTTTTGTTTTCATATTTATGAGTATTATTAATAAGTTCAAACAAATAAATATTAATGTGTAGACCAAGGCCGTTGTTAAAGTAATGAATCTAGAACAAGACGAGAATTTTGTGTTCCTAAATAGGTGTAAGAAAGTAGACCTAAATAAACCTTTTCTTCGCCGCATACGTTTCATTACACATGGTTATGAATCAAATAAACTTTTGGAATCAGAAATTATAGCCTCATATCTATATCGTCATTCATTCTTTGTAAAAGAACTGAACTTTATTTTGTGACTTCTACATTATGAAACACGTGTATTTCGAAGGGTCTTAATCACAACGTCTCTTCTACTGCATGTATTTGAGGAAATGTTCGAAAAAAAATCAAATATATAATATTTATTTAGAGAATAGAAGTATACAAAAAGTGTACCACGCACAAGTAATTTATAAATTACTTTACAAGACAAAGAACATATGCACACTTTGTATTTAAATGCCTCAAATGTAGCAATGAAAATAGTACCAACAACGCACGATTAATGACAGGAATAGTAACATGCAGATACCTCATTAACAAATATAAGATGCAGAACCATTTCCAATGGGCCTGGCTTTTGTTAATGTCCGTCGCCCATTCATAAAGTAGTTCAAAGAAAGTTAGTGAAGACGTGAGAACGTAAAAATTAAATATTAACAAACTCGTGATCACGTCATTCACAATGACCATAAGTCACGTGAACACTTATCAGTAATGTTAAAACCATCGACGAATGTGTATTGTGGTCACGTTAGGTTAGTCTATGGAGAATCCATCGTCAACGATTACGATGAAAAAGAGCGATTTGTACTCTCTAGCGTATAGTGAACGTGAAAATTTTAGCTTGTTAACTTTACATTAATGTTTTGTGTTTATATTCATGTTAACGTTTATGATTTCGTTCATCTTTAGAATGACTCTGTACAATAACATGACAAGCTTTTTCGTTCATTGTTTTCGAGTGAAATTTACGATTACCTTGAATAGCAAAATGTAACGTCAGCATGTCCTTCTGATTTATTTCGAAATTCTACTTCAATGTAAGCTTATTATGAAACATTGAAGTCTGTTTCAATTAATACTTTTAATCATCGTTATCTTCATCATTAGGTTTCATCATTAAGCGTTTATCCGTCCTGATATATCGACATCCCCGCCCTGAGTTGTACCGATGCCCTTTGACATCCTGATATGAATGCACTCTTTCACACCCCTGCTGTCCTTAGGCCCGTAGAGACTAAAAACCCAACTGTGACTCATGGGTCCGTAGCGACCCTTGAAACTGATACGAGTGGGAGGGGGGAAGATATCGGACAGGTGGCGCACAGGTCGTGGTTCGGTTCCCATTGACCTTGCTTTTGTTTGCCCGTAGGCAAATGGCATGGCCCTCTCAACATCCTGACCAGGAAGTAGGAAGGAACGGGACTGAAGGACTGGCTCTTTCATTTGGTGATATAACATGGTGGTGGTGGTGTAGAAAAGCCCCAACTATGTCACTACGCAGAACACTATAATCATACATATCATGTAAGAACTGAAAATAAATAGTATAAGAGAAAAATATGTAGTAAGTAGAAAATATATGTAAATATAAGGGAGAGATAAATACCCAAGTATTAAACTATTAATTTTATTACATACAATCTTACTGTTGTTACCATAACTTAAGAAATTTTGTTTTATCTTTATCACTATTACCTTTATAATTATTTACAAAATAGTACTTTTAAATGTCTCTGTCATTATTTTAATAAATGAGAATGAACTATTTCAATGGAAGTTATCCTAAAAAAGGTTCCATTCAATACAATGTTGGGCATTTCAAATTAATGAGTCATTGAGTCTATTGTTTCCCCATTTCATTCTTGCTCTTGATACAGATGTCATTTATCTGGAATTCTGACATTGGTTGGCATTGTTGTGGCATCAACAGAGAAAAGGACGGCAGCAGTGCAGAGGTCGAAGTCTCAGCAAGTAGCAGATTTGGAGATGGCAGGAAGGATGGTTAGAACCTGCAACAAATTACACAAGGCGTGATAAAGTTTATTCGTAGTTTAAATAATATGTCTATATGTCTTAGTTTTCATTGCACTATCGTTATGTTTATTTTTATAAAAAAACTCATCGTTTTGCAAAATTGTGATGCTCGGAAGCATTTTTCAAACATTTTCAATTTTTCTTCTTCTTAAATTCATGGCTACCGACTGATTAATTCTTTTAATTTTCTCTTTTATAACTGGTTTATCTAGGTGATATGATTAGCACCTTGATTTGACGACGTTTCTGAACTGTATTGTTCGTTCACCAGAGATATAGATGGCAGATAATATTTACATTCCTACCCTCGAACATATTAAATAAACTACTGAAAAATATTTGAAAAAAGATTTACAACAATATTTAAACTTATTGTATATTTACATAACAATGAAGATGAAAATCTCTGTGAAGCTAACGTAGTAATTGACAAACTTCCCAAGAGGTTATTCAAAGAAACAATGTATTCCTTTTGTATGGAAAATGTACTTTTTTAATTGGATAACTGGAGGACACTCGTTAATTAATAGTGACCTTTTGACCTGCATTTAGAGGCGGTTGACATCGTAAACTCAAGTGTTTCCCTAGTTTTAAATATTTATTGGTAATACAATTGAATACGGTGAAACGTAAAAAAGATAATATAAATAATTAATATTCTACAATAATACACATCTAAAAAATAAAATAATTAAGAAACTTACAATGAAATAAACATTACAGACATTAGAATGTTCATCGTAATAATCATGAATAATAACAATAATAAATGTATATTGTTAACGACATATCGTAACCGTAATGATGAGTGTATTAGTCAATTTACCCCTCGAACCATATCAGCAATTTACTATCACGTAGTACACCTGGGGTCATTTTGGACCGCAAGCTTTACTGTTTATTGGAAGCTGTAAACACAAATATGTACGGCAATACACTGAGTGTAAATAATTGTTCTTATAAAACTATATATAAGTGGTTTTCAATAACGTAATAAATATGTTTTCGTCTTAAATATTTCATATAAAGATTAACATCTACAGTACACAAACTCAATTGTTGAAACATAATGTTTCAGAATTATTTATAATATTTTGTGAAAGTTATTTCAAGATATATCAAATAATGTCTGCAGCAAATATAGTTTTTGAAGTTTATGACAAGATATTTCTGGTGAGAATGGGAAAACCGTAAGTTAAACCAATCTCATATAACGAAAAAAAATTAATAACTCTCTAGTAAAATTTGTAAAATATTTTTAAATTGTTTGGTACTTGCTTAAAAGTGCGCGAAGACATATCTAGAAGACTGAAATTATTCAGCTTTAATTCAGGAAAATATTAACAAATTAAGGATGATAGGATTCAAAAAGACCCCAGATATGGTACGAGGGTTAAATCTAACTTGATAAAATAAGAATTTCTATCGTATTTAGTACAATGATTTATAATTAATTAATTTGAGTTTGTAAATTTTCCACCTGAAGCGAAATTTTCGTTTCGGAGATGTTTTAATTCGGGAAATAGCTTTTCTTTTGAAGAAATGGAAAGATGGCGGCTGAGACGGAAATGTTAACAATCGAAATCGTGTCCCGTCACCACCCTCTCCCTAGGTCGCGCCGCTCCGCCGCCGACAAATACCCGCCCACCCGCCTGACCACCCACTCGCTCTCTTCCGCGCTCACCCGCTCGCTGGCGCACGTGCACCAACTCACCTGCCCGCCTTCCAGCTCCCTCGTCACCCTGCTCGCTCTCTCGCCCGACCTCTCCGTATCTCGTCCGCCTCTCACCGAGAGGGGACTCACGGCATCAACTTTCACTGCTGTGCTGCTGACCGGCAGGTCCTAGGTTCGGGTTCCGGCGGTAGCAAGACTTATCTAGATAAAGAGATCGAGTTCAGTCACATTCTGGAGGAGAATTCTAGCGGACGGCTGCTCTGATCGGTAATTGTCCGTGGTTTCTCCGATCAACACCAAGCGAATGCCGGAGTAGTACCCTAACAAACGGGCGAGAGACCGCGTGCGATCTTTCCTTCGTATTCCTTGTCCTATCCAAACCCCTTACACACACACACAGTAACATGCACTACCCTACCAAATATGTCGGGAGATCGGTCGGTAGCTTAGAGCTTGTCCCGGCTGGGAAGAACCCTGCTAGCCGACAGGTGGTTCGGCACCGGTTCTCACCATTCAGCGGAAGAGTATTCGTATCACCGCAACCTCTCGAGGAAAAAGCACGCACTGCACTTAGGGGACTAATGACCTTAACAGTTGACGCGCCCGGAATCTCCAATCAAACAACTGTCCGTGTCTGTCTCTCTCTCTCTCGCTCACCAGCCCGCCCAGCGTTTCTCGCTCTTGTCCAGCCCACTGACTCGCTCTTACGCTAATTCACTCTCCCTTTCTTTCCTCCATTTGCATACCACTCCCAAGAACCAACCAAGCGACAAACGACCAACACGGAGGTGAGTAAGTAGGGTCTAGAACGGGGACAGACGTAGCAGCGGAAGGAGGGAGAGCAAGTACGGAAGCGCTGAAAATGACAAGTACTACAGAAGGGAAGGAGAGGACGGTATCGGGAGCGGAGCTAAGCAGAGAGACGATGGCAGTTATGGTGGCAAAGATGGTGATGTCCGTATATTGATGGTTCTAGTTTTTCTTTTAATGAAGTAAATACACTTAAAATGGAATAAAATATTCATTTAATTATTTTCATTGTCGATGACTTTACGGCATACACCGAAAACTTGAATGACGTAACTAACCGTTTGAATAAATCAAAAAAACAGTTAGAAAATTCAAATCAAAAATAAAATATTTATTAACAATATTAAAGGGATACTCAGAAATACTAAGAGTAGAAAACAATAACAAATAGAAAACCTTTATACAAAAACCTAAAGAAAAAGTTTACGGTCTATTCGTATTTTCAATATACGACTTTTTGCTCACGTGCACAAGCCGTCAAACATCATTCATATTTTCCCAAATCTTCCAGCTCCGCGAAGACATACATTTCTCATCGACAATTAAGTTATTCAGTCTTTACTTACAACTGAACGTCTTACATTCCATAAAGTTTCGCCGTCCACGTGACCATGCATCGTACTCCGTTCGGTAAGACGCTCATTTTACCTCTCATTTTTTATTTAAATATTTTGTGTATTTTGTTCGTCACTATTGTACCCGCCAACGTATAATTGCGCGCGAACGTGCACACGTGCACACGAACATCGTTTTGATATCAACAGTCATTGATAATCTTGGCTCATTACAGAATGGTCTGTTAGGAGATGGAGTCGGGAGCGTAGGTGGAGGGAAAACCTATGGGAGGATTATGTTTGGGGCGACGGTGGGGGCGGGGAGCCGGAGCCGAAAGTGACGGCGGAAGCGAGAGCAGAGCCGGCTTCGTCGGCAGGCAACGGGGGACGGCCCCGACAGCCGGTGCAGCGCGGGAGTCGGAGGCAAAATCGCGAGAGAAGATGGCAAGATCAGGGGTGGGGGGGGCCCGCCCCCCGCGAAGGAGGCGGCAGCGGGCTACGACGGGAGACCGGCAGGAGGCTGAGGGGGAACCGCGGATTGCGAAGAGTAATTAAGCGAAGGCACCACGCCTTTGGGATCGGAGAGCACCCCACCCCCCTCCCCTTCCCCTCCTCAGCAACCTCCGAGGAGGGGGCGGGGGGAGGAGGGGGCACCTCCCGGACACGGTGGCACTCAAGCGGAGCGCTTTCAGGAAATGAGAACCGACGGCGCCGCCTCCCTTCGAGTGATTCCGCTTATTCAGAAATATCCCCGAGTGCTTCCGATGAGAAATGAATGGGAGGCGGGGAAGCGAGCGGGACTGTGGAGGGGCGGGAGGGGGGGGGGCAGAAGTGAAAGCGCGGAGGTTGACCGCGCTATGAATGGCACTCCAAAGTTCAGATGTCGACGCCAACGGATCGAAGAATCTCGTTCGCCGTGAAATTGCTTTCCCCACGTGAGAACTCTCCGCAGTTTCAATCATTTCGAGAGGGCGACGTTCGCGTGTAATTTGCTACCGGCGTTTCTGGGTCGCAGACGGATGTGGTTGTACAGGAATGTGCATTGTACGGTGTGTTGCAGATGTGTCACATGCGTTTTATGGAAGTGAGATGCATTTCACAGGGCAGCGGAAGGGCGTTCACCTCATTAGTTTATCAATTAAGATTTAATAGATTTTTTAAAACTTGTTGCACCGTCGTTGACGCAACGTGTCTCTTCAACCCTGATGGAAGTGTTGTATCGACAAGTCAACGGCTGGGATTTTTTTTTTTTTTCTGAATTAGGAAAATTATTACAAACAACCATCATGGAATAATTTATTTCAAAGTAGTAACACTCGAAAACTAGCGAAAGAAAAGGTATGAGTTATTTTAGTGTGTTTATTACTATTTCTCTGAAATTACCCATATGTTGATTACTTGCTATATATTTTCTCGAAATAATCGCAGATGAAAAGACGGTAAAATGCCACACATTGTGTACGGAAGTATGTCAAGATCCTATCGTTTCAAATTGTTTCTCTTGCTAGTAGATTAAGCTGAATTGTTTTTTAGAGACTTGCCCTATTAGAGAAAAGTGCATATACTAAAAGTAATCCTTTCGTTATAGATGTTTAATCTTCCAACGCCACGACTACGTTTTTCACTCCTAGTTAGCTCTTGCAATGTATTAAGTAAATGTAATGAAGTAAATAAAACCAATTATTCCGTTTACGCCATCAAAACGAAAACATCGAAATAGGAAAAGAAACATTATTAGGCGGCAAGTTGCATCGGAATTCGGATCCCAATCGCATCTCCTCACGGCTCACTCCAGGCAACACAGCAAGCGCTCCAGAGCGAGGTTGCTCGTGCGAGCGCACATCCCCTTTAGGGCAGAGTTGCTCGAGTTCGTCGCACGACTTAGTCGCACGCGCGAGTTGAAATGCGCCGATGTCGCGAGGAAAGACGACACCGC